GGCCATCTTGAAAAACGCAAATAAAACAACACAACATACACACACACGCACGCACACACACACACACACACATACACATACACACACTCGAATAAGTTGTATTTTGTTTACTGGAGTGTAGCATGAGCTGGACAGACAATAGTAAGGTCTCGAGGCAGGGCACATGGCCGGTTTCCTCGTCCAGAGGGTCGGGCTGTCTGCCGATGTGTTGGTCGGCCAGAGGCCAAAGTAGGCGGGATTTTCAACGTCGAAGTGAAGATGAGACTGAATTGGGGCCGATTATGCAAGTACCAAATGCCTTCAATCGGTCGATAAGCTCGAGACCGGTCGCCGGATGTGGTCACAGACGAAAGTACCAAAGGGAGGACAGGAATATGCGAGGAGGAGAGGAGCAGTGAACGAAAGACCAACTGAATTGAAGAACAAATTACCGGCGGAACTGGAGTCCGGCCGAACGACTGACCAAATTGATAATCGACCTACAGAAGAACTGATCATCCGAATGGACGACCGACGGACCGATCTACCGAATCAACTGCAGACTAATAAATCATCCCCGTGACCGACTGACTTGAATACGATACAAACTGCAGAAGAGCCAATAGTCCGTCTGGACGAACGAATGAGTGAACAACCACACCAACAGGAGACCAACAGAACATCGGAATAACCGACCGACTGGCCAATCTGGGAAACAAACTGCAAATTAATAAATCACACGACCGACCGACCGACTGATCGAAATGGCAAACAAACAACGGAGCATAAAGAATAACCGAACGAATGGGCGACCTACCGAACGAACTGAAAACCAGACGATCTTCCGAACAACCAAACGAATGAGCGAAGTATCAATCCAACTAAATAATATGAGATGTATTCACCCAATTTCGGTTAAGGTGATGAAAGCCTAGTAGAAGAAGAATTTTCCCACAATCATGTCAATTGAGCTGATGTTTCCATACAATTTTACATAGTCTTGCTATCCCAAAAGTTTTTCTCATTCAGGTGGGATTGTCGATGAAGCAAACGTATGTTTGCCATAACAATCGA